ATGACTGAAGACCAACGACTTCGAGTGTATCTAAATATTGCCTTACTCATTTCTGACTAAATTTGTCGATAATGTAGCATGACGTAATTCACTTGAAAGCCAAAAAGGTATTAATCGTCAACTAAAACCAAAGTGACGAACGATTTTCTCGGACGAGTCTGACACTTAAAATGGATACGTCCCTAAAAAAAAAAAGATGGAAAATTTAGAATCACATTTGGAAAAACTCTCTGGATTGATACTTACAGTTTCATCTGCAAGAGGCGACCAGCCAAGAGAAAGAATCTGAAAGGAGTTCAACAGTGTCTCGATGACCGGAAGGTCATCCCTCGACATCCCTCCTCTCCACTAACAGCAGAAGCTCTTGTCTATTCTCAGTCTAACTTATTTTCAGTAATTGCTGGTGGTATTGCTTGTTTCACAAATTCTAATTTAAATTTGAAGATAAGTTTAAAAGATAAGCATGCATGCATATTGAAACTTTCGCAAAAATAGAGCAGATGTGAGCGGAGATATTTTGGCTAAAAGTCGTTTGTCGTTCACCCCGAGACTGACCCGGGGTAAACGCTTTGGAGGTTAAGAATCAGGGCGAAGAAGAGGCTTTTTGTTTTAGGCAGCTTTCAGATTAAAATAAGATTTAGACATTTATATTTTTTATTTATATTTCTATAATTTTTTTAAATAGAGATTTAGATTTAGATTTAGATGCTACATTTTCATCAGAGATGTGCACTGTAATCGCAGAAATCGTGACGTCACTATGTCTACTCCCAGAAGGGCCTACGCATGGTTTTGGGCATTGGACGTATACAGGAAAAGGAATCGCTGGGGATCACGCACTTCATTTAGTGAACGAAACCTGGTCTGTTTAGCTGTGTATTTTTTCAAAGAATGGCGTCAAACCATGCAAAGCCGCGTTCATGTTCATGTTGGAATATCGGCCTAAATTGAGGACGGACGTAGGCTCAGCTAAGACGCAAAGCCGCCTCTATCCTCGAACTGAACTCGGACGAAGACTCTATGTTGAATCCACTCCGTCGTTCTCGTTGGCATGGAAACAGTTAATGCAGGGGGATTGTAACTGTCTCCAAATTGACACTTGTTATGGATTATGTTGTTATGGATATGTTGTGGCTGTAGAAAGATTTAACATTAGAGCTTTTGAACGTATGGAGTAAAAAATGGCTGATGGAAGTTAGTAAGAATGAAGAAGATTCTTCACACTGGCTTTGTTAAGTAAGTGTAAGATCATAATAACAGCAAGCCTCAGAATTTATTAGATGTGAATGAACTAGGAGGCAAACTGAGATCATGATTGTGATGAACTTAACCTTTCTGCATAAGCAGGCAACAGTTGTTAAAATGTAGCAGGATTTTAGGCATCATCTGACGTTAGCATTCCCTTGTCAATAAGAGCTCTAATGTTAGTGTTTTTCTTCTATTGTATACAGAACTGGTTAGACTCTGTTTTGAGAATTGTGTTAAATTCTGGTGGTTTGCAAAAATAGGGAACTGATGATGCTGAAAAGGGTTCAGGGATAGGCTAGGAGAATGGTTGAGGTTGAGGACTTTCTCGTAAGAGGCTCTCAAAAGTGGTGGGACTTTACTAAGGTTGTTGAGGGGAGACCTCATCTAGGTATGTAAGGTGATTAAGGAATTGCTAACATAAGATAACAGAAGGTTAATCCAATGTAATGGCCACAGCAGAATGAGAGGGAACCGATTCAAGTGGTGTGAACCCAAATGAGACAAAGATTTTAGTATGACTTTTTGTATGTTGGTGGTAAATGCATGGAATTTCAGGTGATGATATAGAGACTGCCCCTTCCCTAATAAGGTTAGGTTTGATGCCCTCTTGAGCATAACAAAAAAGGGAGCAAAATAGCTTCAAGTAGCAAGGCATCAGGTTGATATACTCCCAAAGAAATATTAATCTTTAAGGGGGTAGACCTTTTTATTTTAAGTGAGTACTTAACCTTGAAAAAAGGCTATGAACCTTGTACCTTGCTTCTTGTACCCTGGGCAGCATAGCTACTACCCCCTTCATTCCTCTCTTTTAGGAAAGAGAGTTGTTGGTCTAATTTTATGAATAAGTTGACTTTCATTTCCTAACATTGCTGGTTTCTCCCCGACTCCAACCCATCCCGTGTGAAAATTTCATGTAAGACCATATATGAAATGGCCATATATTAAACCAGTCCAAAATATATGGGGCATATATGACCATATAATGCAATTCATATATGTACACATATGAAACATGTATGAGGTTTGACACAAGTCACATAAACTCATATAAGAAGGACAAATATATGACCCCATGGATTTTCATATATTGGCTCATACAAATGCACCATATACTGTCCATATATGCCATGTCATATCTATGTATGGTGAGATTGTCTGAAACATGCCTGTATCCAAAAAGGGTCCATAATCCATCAGATACTCGATGGTCATTCATATGCAAGTCACCATACCTTACTTACAATCAACTCTTTTTTAATTGTTCATAGACCACAGTCAGTTATTCCAAGAACTCATGTTTCATGGCGTTCAACATATGCACCCATGTTAATGAAGGTGAAAGTTTCAATTTTTTAGATTTTAACCTCCAAAAGTATTTTCATCAGTAATGCTATTTCATGACAAAACTTGACTTATTCATGTAGGAGTGTCTTCTTCATCTTGACTAACAACTCACAAGATAGATGGGAAAAAAACATATTTATAACAGTGTCCCAGAGTTCTTGTGCCCTCCCCTCCTGCACTTTTTTCATCTGCAATACGCTTATGGTACCTTGAGGGTAGGGCCCAGTTTGAAACCCTGACTGGAATTTTCCAGGTGGACAGAAGCTGTATATTCTGACCATTTCCAGCTGGCAAAGAGCTGAAAAATGGTAATTACAGGTTGTTTTACAACTGGAAATTTATTGTTAGAATTTTATTCAGAGGATCCATTTGTTGGAATACAGCTGAATTTACAGTTGAAGTTCAGCTGCTTCCATAGATGGACCTCCAGCAAGAATAGCCAACAAAAACATTCTCATTCCACCAATGTATTGCAATTAGGAACAATCTGGATCCGACTTTACTGGAAAGTATGGGAAAGTAATGGGTCTGAATTTCCAACTGGGGTCCAGCTTGAAATTATAGCTGTTTCCAACTAGGATTTTCAGCTGGGGTTGTTCAAAACCAAACTTTTGGCAAATTACTTTAGAGGTTATACATAGCTAATATTTCATGTAAAATATAATGGATGCATTAAAAATTAGTTAGAGACATCTGAAGGTCATTTGCCCTTGTGTCTCATGTAATTGACCTCATGCAGTGGCATATTTTCTAGGGAGGGGGCAAGGGGGTGCAGCTGCCCCCCCCTGGCATCCCTGGGACAGGGATTGGTGCCCCCACTCTGCTGCCCTGTCCCCCCTGACTCTTCAGCCAAAATGCACCACTGACCATGTTTTACTTACAACCATAAGACTTAAACATCACATATCAGACATGATGCCATTTTTCCATCACACTTAATATTGCAATGCAGGTAAAATATATTATACACCATACAATTGTTAATGTATGAATACATATATGCTGGTATATGGCAAATATATGATCATACATGAGCATAAAGAGTCATACACCCTGTCATACATGGAATTTTCGCCTTCAATTCGTCGTTATCGACCTTCGTCTCAGGTTGCCCACGGGACTCATTTGCAAGATCAAAATTTCCAGAACGGAAACGATTGAATCAATACCGGGCTGTACGTTCGTTAGTGGTAGTTGGTCCATATGTGTCGTTGATATTCCGGGCTGCCTGGTACCACGGTGCATTGGTACCACGACGGAACTCATTAAAAAATTATCCGAATTTTTCATTTGTCCGTGTCTCCACAAAAGCTGATTTTGCACACACTAATTAAGAGACAATGTTCACTACTATACCTGTTCAAAATGAGAAAGAATGTATCTTTCAGACAAAAGAATAATGAAGCGAAAATATCATGGCAAACTAGAGTTATTGGATGTCAAAGTTCATAATTAGTAAAAACGGCAACTTCATAGGTAAACCCCTGATATATTGGTATCTAGGGAGGTATCAGACTGATTGGTATCAGACCAATTCAATCCAAAAACATTTTTTCACTTGATACCCTGTACGAGGTGCCTGACCATGGACTTTCCCATTATGTCTTGGTTGTTATTGGATTATGCCTAGGCTGATGCTACTGGTGTATTGACTCTAGGGACATCTAAAAAGTGGTAGGTCACATTATAAGTAAGACCAGAGGAAATGTTCATTATTCTAGCATTGGTATGTCCATAAAAAACAATGGTTTGCAATTGAGGGGTATGTTAAAATCATCCTAAAATCCCTGTGTGAAAACAGATGTGGAAAAGGTGCTACCTACTGAAAACTCCCTCCCAGAACTTTTAAGTGTGAATTGAACAACCATTTCATATCTTTGTCCAGGCAGTCCAAACTGGTATGATTCTATTATAAAATGCACATACTCCTGTAGGGATTCTCACTCTTGAGTAGTGCAAGAACACCAAGTTTTTAAAAGTAATTTTCATGCAGATATCCTATAACCTATGCAATTGTTCTATCTAATTTGTGGGTGCAGAACATGAGCCATACCTAGGAGCCCCCACCCAGATTTTGTGCTCATTTTTCTTACAATTGTAATCTTTGAGGAACTGTTCCTTATTCCTTTTTCAGTGAAACAAGAGAACTACAGCAAGATGATTGTATTCTCATGAGAACATAATGAGCAGCAGCCCCAGCCTTGATCTCTTTGGTCTCTGTGCTTGAGTCAGGTTGCACATACTAGAAGCATATGAGTTTCATTCTCTCCCCCTAATGCAATGCATTGGCTATCCCTAGGATAAGCATAGCTTTGTTTTAGGAGACTGCATGATTTACTTCTTTTTATTTTCAGGAAATTTCAAATCCATTTTTTTATCAGTGAAATGATTGTTTTCCATCATACCAGACCTAAAACTGGACATTGAAAGGGAAGCAGCTTGCAAGTTAATAGGAGAGAAAATGTATTGTCTCCAGTGGTTGTTGCCAGTGCTTCTCATGCCAAAGCCCATGAACCCAGCATTATTTTTCAACCATGCCATGTTTATGCTTGTGTATTTGATTGGATTCTACTTGGAGAAGAAGCCTTGCACAATTTGTAGCCTTATCTTCATGATTGCATTCTTTCTTATATGCTACAATTGTTTCAGCAATTGCATCATCTGCTTTTCAAAACAATGCAGTCCTTCTGACAGTTCATCATGTGAGTATAATAGTTCTCCATAGTTTGGAATCTACATTATCCCTGTGGATGCCAAAGACTTCAACTGCAACAGAAGATTGTGATTTATACAAGAACTAGGAAGGTGCTTGGTTATACTGTTTCATCATGGAGATTGAAGATAAGAATATGGAGCTTTCATGCATCAAGAAGGAAGTTGATGCCTTAGATATCCAGATTGCCAAGTTGCAGCACTGCAAGAGGCAACTATTGGAGAGGAAGGAATCATTGTTGCAATCTATTCGGCAAGAGAAGATAACTGAATTGGAATCTCAGGATTGGCAAGGAAAAGGTTCTGTTCTTTGGCTTAGGCCTGATTCATTGAACTTATTGTTGAAGAGTCCCTCTCCATGGTCTGAGGAGCTTGTCCTCATTACTGGCTTTGTTGTCTTCTATTTAGAATTCCCTTGGTCAAAAGAGATTAAAGAAGCATTGAGAGGTAAATTCAAGTTGGAAAAATTTCGAGACCTTCAACTTGCAGCTATCAATGCCTCATTATCAAGGCATGATGTCATCCTCATCATGCCAACAGGAGGAGGAAAGAGCCTTGTTTACCAACTGCCAGCTGTAGTGTCTCAAGGTAAATGGGAGAAGAAAAGTTCAAATGTTAAATAAAAAACATGCTGCATTTTTCCATCTACATTGCATCACTGAATGGAGTTCTTTTCTTTTCTTTTCTGGATTCAGGAGTTACCTTGGTTGTGTCACCCCTTGTGTCTTTGATGGAGGACCAGATCATGGCTTTACACAAGCTCCAAATCCATGCTGACATGTTGAATGCTTCTTGTTCTCGAGAGAAAGTCAGTCAGATCCTCAATGTGAGTTCAGCATATTAGGGATTTTTAGGACATCAGTACTCGGGCCCGCTGTTCCCATTGTCATTTCTTTTAGGCTCTAATAGACAAGCATGGGGACCTGAAGCTATTGTATGTGACACCTGAGAAGATGGCTAAGAGCAAGCGCTTCATGTCAAAGCTCCAAAAATGCTACGAGTTGGGACTCTTGGCTCGAGTGGCAATAGATGAGGTTCATTGTTGCTCCCAGTGGGGACATGACTTCAGACCTGGTAAGAAGTATTTTGTGAAATCCCTTGTTTCCAGGAGAATCTTATGAAAATGTCTAGCATCTTAGAACACAAACCTGTCATAAATGTAAACATATGTACCAGTATCATTTACAGCAGGTTATGAGAAAAATAATATTCACACTAATACTAACACTAATACCCTTACAAATAACTTACATAGCAGCCAATATACATACCAGGTGGCCCAGAAAAAGTGTATTGTTTGACACTTAATTAAATCCAGTGTGGATGATCTAGGTTTGTGATGCTTTTGTATCACATTGGAAAGACCAGAAAACTTGTTTTATGAAAGTTTCATAAACTTAGGTTGTCTGCATAAATATTGACAGGCATTCAAAGTGGAGTCATAAAATGTACCTTCTCCACACATGAGGAGGATGGAATTTCAGGACTGAATGATTTCTCTCCTTTGATGCCATAAATGCTCCTTTTTATGCCAGTTCTCATCCTAGTAGGGTAAGTGCTGCAAATGTCAACACTGGGGACAGTGTTGCCTCAGCATATGGTGATCGTCAACATTCTGCTTCCAATGCCAGTCCCCTGGGCACAGGTAGACAAGTATTTTCAAATGGTGGGACAAATGTTGTTAATATGTGCTTGGAACAACCATATTTGCTGTTGTAGTTTTCTTGCAGTGGCTGCCTTCTCTAAGCGCACTCAGAAAATCCTGCAAAATCTTGTGAATTTGCTAAGGTTTTGCACATTCTGTTTGTCTCTTCCTTGCTAGGTATTGTTTTCTTCAGTCTTTGAATTCATTTTTAAGTCCATTGTAAATGACAGTGATACCTAGGTGTGCTGAGATTCCTAATAAGGTGGTGCCGACTATGCCTGCAAGTGTGCTGAGATTACCAACATTTGACCCAGGCCCTTGGAATGGAAAGGCCTAGGGAACTCAAGGTGTACAATACAAGGAGGTTAATAATAAAGGTATGATGTGACCCAACATGAATGAGGAAGTTCCATTACAGAAACCACCAGACAAAGTGAAAGTGAAAAATTTGCTTTGAGTGCCAACATTTGCAGCATTCACCTTAATCTGTATAGTATCCAATGGTATGACATATGACTGTAGTACTATTCTACAATGTGTAGAATACTACAATGAGGACATGGGTAAAAAGCAGTCTTTATGGCATCAAGTGAGAGAAATCAAGCAGTCCTGAAACTCCATCCACCTCATGCATGAATAAGGTACATTTTGTGACTCCACTTTGAATGACAGTTAATTTTTATTCAAATAAACTTGGCTGATGAATCTTTCAAAAAACAAATTTTGTGACCTTTCCATTGTGATATGTAAACATCATGAATCTGGATCATCCACAGTGGGTTTTATAAAGCATCAAACAGGAGGTTTTTTTTTTGGACCACCTGGTATGTATGTTATTGGTAAGGGTATTAGTGTTAATAGTATTATACTCACAACCTGCTGTAAATGCTACTGGTGCATATGTTTAAAACATATGTAATGTATGAAACAACATTAAAACATATGGAAACATCATGAACCTATATGATTAAGGGGGGGTTTATGAAGCATCAAACAGGATGCTTTTTTTTTTGGCCCATCCAGTTTATTGGCTGCTTTCATAGTTGATTTTGCCAGGAGATTTTTTTGAAGCTTTACTTCAATTGTTTTACAGGTGGGAATTTTTTAAAATTTAATGTGGCAAGTAATTGTAATAATTTTTTTATGGCAGCTCTTATTGATCTGTAACCATTATTCGTTTTTGCTTGCAATATGTCTCAATGCTCACACAATTTGAATATCTTGTTCTTTAATCTAATCATTCTGGTCATAGATAAATTTAAATTTAATGTTAACCCTCTTCAATTCCTTATATACTTTGATGCACAGTGACTTTTAAATAATTTTTTAAAACCTATTTCATGAGGAAGTTAATGGTGTTTTCTTTGAAGTGATGATGGTTTATAATTCTCTGATTTTTTTATTATTGCAGTATGAACCAATCTTCATCCATTTCTTACTTAAATTTCTTGATTTTCTGTGTTGAAACTTGGAATATTTGAATATCTGGGCAAGAATATGCTCTAATTCCACTATGGCATGGGCACAGTGACAGTCTGTAATGACAGCCTGCTTCTGTAGAATGTCTCCAGACAGTATGCATAATAGTTCTACACAAAGTTCTCACTGGGTTTTTCAAAATTTGAGTCTCAGAGACTCAAGAATACTTAGAGTATTGAGTCAAATCACAGACATCTTTAGCACATTTTGAGTTTCTGATGAAATGTAAGAAATGAAAATTCATGCCCAGAAAAATACATTTTCATGATTGCTCTGTCGCAAAGCATCTTTTCCTCCATGAAATGCAACCACTTGGATGCTTCTTCCCACGTTGGGATGAACTGTCAATTTATTTTTGTGATCATTAACCGTTATTTGGCTTCAGCTACAAAAATGAGCGTGACTATGTGGTTTTCACTTAAGTTAGGCTCTTCTTTACTTGACTTTGATGCTCATGCATAAGGAAATACCCCATGCATGAGTGTCCGAGTCAAGGATGAAATTGTCTTACTCAGGCAGAAAATACTGTATGTGGTGGAAAGCCCCCCCCTCATAGGTTTGCTAACTGTTTCTCAAGTAAGACCTGGAATCTCCTTAAAAACACATTGAATAGGTCGAAAGCAAAGGCTGCTTGATAAGTCGTCAATTGAAAATAATATGGTTTAGTGGGGACATCAGGGTCTGCCAGGATTTTCCAAGTCAACATTTTACATTCATGAGGCTCTACACACCTCTATTGAACACAGATTCATCCTGGATAAATCTAGCTGACTTACTTGATGTAATTGCTATCTTGGCCAACAGGAATAGCTGTGGAACCAGCATGGTGTCCAAAAACTCATAAACTACATCTATACTTATAAAATATATTCTATGTGTTTCTTCTGTGGTTAGTAACAGTTTTGTGATACTCAAGGCAATCTTGCTGGATGTTCCTTTGGATATCCTGGGGAATTTTTGGTACCAGCAGGCATGAAGGGAAAACACATAGAGTATATTTTGTTTAAAAGGTAATTCCTGAGTTAATCCTTTGAAACACTCTGTAGGTTAGACAACTCCTTGGGGGAAGCTGTCAAGTACAGGAGGCTGCAAGTTGTGCCAAGTACATGGACATGTATGCAAGGGATGTTCAATAAGTAATGACTGCAGCTCAAAAACTTAGTTATTTTGAATGACTGGAATTTATCAACTTCAGGCTTCTTCAACATCATCCTCATCAATATTTACACCCCTTTGGATCCTCTTGAACTACTTTGGAAATGCCATTTTATTGGCTTTTTGTAGTATTCCTTGAAGCACCAATTGTACAGCCTTGCATTGGTATTCAATTCAATGGAACTGTCTCCCAGCCATATTTTCATTGAGCTTAAGGAACAGACAGAAGTCCAGGGTGGTGAAATCAGGAGAATAAGGTGGATAGGGAAGACCTCAGCTTCATTTTCTTCCGAAAACGTGTCGGTTACTTGTGTGTTATGGCTGGAAGGATTGTCATGATGGTGCCAAATTCTGTTGGTCCCACCAAGTGGTTGTTGGATTTTGGTCTCAGCCAAAACTTTGGGGAGCACAACTCCAGAGTAAAACGCTCCAGTGATTGTTACCCCCTCATGCATTATGTTCAGAACCTTAGACCCTCATTAATATAAAAAATGTCTTGATTGCAATACAGTGAAGCCTCACTAAGCCAGACCCTGCTGGTCTGAACTTCAGACAGGTTCCTGACACCCCTGCAGTGTGGAGGTCTGAGGAAGTGTCTGGCAAACTTTTCTTTTTTCTAACTTTATGCACCCAATAAAGTGTTTAGTTATTATTGATCACTTACAAAGTTAATATAAAGTGCTGTTTAGGATTTTACAGGTTTATTATGCTTCATTTACATGTGTAATGCATTTTTTCTATATATTTTGGATTGTAAGGTTTTGCTGTAAATTTGAAGGTTTTAAAGGTAAAAAAATTGACTCCTTAGAGATGAGGAAATTAATCACAGCATAATATATAATCAGCATATAATCTATGAACGAGATGAAAATTTGCCAGTCACCATCAAAGACATCAGTATTCTCATAAGAAAAGTAAGAATGTTGTATTGCAGCTGAAAGTGTCTCAGGCTACAAACTTTTCAATCACCCCTTGTAAGTCATAAGAGTAAATGTGGCCTGTGGTAGGTGAATAAAAATCATAAATGGCCCTCACAGTCTTTGAATTATGCGCCCCTGATCTACAATCTAACAACTACACACATGTAACCTGTTAGAGTCACCCCAAAAGTATTGCCTCTGACTGTGTTTACTACAAAGTGACACCATCTACTTGTAGCATGAACTCAAAAATTCAAGTGCGGGATAAAACTCACTAGTTTGTTGCTGAAGCCACTGTCAAGCATGATTTCTCTCCAGCATACAATTTCAGGCAGTCTAAGACTAAACCAGAGGCAGTTGTCATTGATGTCCAATCTGGGCTGGACAGCGTGAAGATATGAATCTAATTGAGCCTTTCTAAGATGTTATCAGTGAAGGAGTGACCAAGAAATGTTGTAAGAACAACAAAGAGCTGCTTGAAGCAGTTAGTGATATTTGAAATGATATCCTGATTGACAGTTTGCAATAATTGGCTTTGGTGTTGGTATTCTGAGATATGTGAATTCCCTTTTTGAGGCTATACAAGGGCACCAACTATTGCAGGAAACATTGTCCTTGTTGCTGTCATGATCAGATCGCAGCAAGTTTTGATATTGAGTGGTCTTCATTATTTATGATTCAACTAGCAAGGTTTGACTGCCACTGATACATCTGGGGACAAATTATTTGCTTGAATGAGTGGTGAATCATGGGCCTGTAGCACCCTCTGCTTCCATTATGCAATAGACCTACAATTTTATTCCAGATTACAAGTTTTTGGGCATTCTTCGGAGCATGTTTCCCAAGACACCAATTCTTGGATTGACAGCTACTGCAACATCAAATGTAACTGAAGATGTGAAGGAGTTCCTTAACATCCCTCAAGCCATGGTTTTCAAGTCATCCTTCAATAGACCAAACCTCTACTATGAGGTTGACCTATAACTCTTATTAGGCCTGCAAGTAGGCCTGCCAGTTACTTATGATTCCCTGCTCCAAATGTGTGTTTACTTGCTTATAGGTGCAGGAGAAGTCATCATCCCTTAAAGACTCCTTGGATATCCTCTCTTCCCTGCTAACACAGGATTTTGCTGGGCAGTCTGGAATCATCTATACTTTAACCATCAGAGAATCAGAGGAGCTTACCACTGAACTGCAAAAGAGAGGGCTTCAAGTGAGAGATTTACAAATATCAACCTGAAATGGGTTTTGGAAAATATTCATACCATGGTTTTAGAAGCAAGCCAAGTTGACCTTGACAAGTTTGCATATCACCTTTTGAGGGTAATATGATTTGATGATCACGCTTGGTTGTGTTTCATTCTTGTTAGATGTGAAGAATGGTAAGAGAATGTTAGACTGACAAGTATGAACTAACAGTGTTGTATGAATTTTCTTCTTAGGTTGGATGCTATCATGCAAACTTGGAAGCCAAAACCCGGAGTGATATCCATCAGAAGTGGCTTCAAAATGAAATTCAGGTTAGTTTTTCTCTCTGCATCTGGTTAACATGATTCAGTTCCCATTTCTCACTTTCATTCTTGAAGAATTCATACCTATTATTATTTTTTCCATCCTGGACCTGTGACTTCAGTATATTAGAAATACCTACCAGTGATATTTGTAAATATCTGGGAATGAATTTCATGCAAAATCAGAAAACAGAACTGGTGATTGATTGAAGATCAATTCATAGATTAAGAAAGTAATATTTGCTCAGTGAATGCATATCTTGGGAAATTTCCCTCTTTTTCAACTTGTAGGCCAGATTGTTTACACCTTTGCCAATCTTAACCTTAAGAGCAAAGTTTAGAAGATAATTTTAAAGTGTATGTTCTTACTTAATGAATTTAATTATTTCCTTCCAATGACTGCCTTGCAGGCTGTTGTGGCAACTGTGGCATTTGGCATGGGTATAGACAAGCCAGATGTGAGGTTTGTCATCCACCACTGCATGTCAAAGTCCATGGAAAACTTTTACCAGGTAAGAATGAGTTTCAAAGCTGCACCAGTCCTGCTAATGGTTTGCATGTGAGAGCCATGCATTTTATGGCTATGGCCAATCTGATATGTCATTAGTGGGACAGTTTTGGCCAGTGTCATCATTTATTCATTCATTTTCAAAACCACTCATCCCAACTTAATGATGTCACAGCTCAAGCAAGCCCAGGAGCATCCTCCTGTATGATGAACTGAAGCTCAGCTGATGGAATATTGATCCTCTCTCATCAAGGCTTCACAAAATAGTCCTTTCACCTTGCATGAAACTTACTGGACTGATTGTTGGCTTGTCATTTTGGACTGGGAAGATCCAAGCAAATGGGCTTGAGATCCCTCTATCTGAAGAAGTAGCTACTTGACTTCTCACAGAGGGCAGCACTCAACACCTCTCATGATGACACTATTCATCCACAAGTACTTCGTTTTAGTGGCTTCTTTCTGCAACCTGAGTCTTTCAATTATTGCCTTATCAGTAGGCCTCTTTGAAACTATAGAGACCGCTTTTGGTCCTGTGCAGCCTGTCTGTCTCTCTATGAGGCCATCAGTGGTTAGTGCTACCCATTGCTGCGGTAGAAAGCATTTAGTGACATGTCCCTTGCAAAAGCAAAAAACGTAAACGGAGATACAATGATTTCCTGTTCTTTACCACTAATTTCCTCTGCCAGTTCCTATAATATGGCTGTATTATAATCTGGTCTATGTTTTTGTCTGGGAGCGAGTGGCTTTCAGCGAGACTGGAGAGCTGACACCTAGCCATGTTCACACCCTCGCATAATTTTTTTTTCCACTTTGCCTGTCCATTGGGCACTGGCACCAGCACCGTTCCCATTGGCTGATGGCCAATGGTGCTGATAGTGCAACACCGCAACCAATACCGGTGTTAGCTGATACATGGGTACAGCCCTAATTCTGAGTCAAATTGGTCAAGGACACTTGAAGCATCTGTCAAAACAGGGCCAAGAGGACAGCATCATCAGCAAAGAGAAATATCTTTACCTTGATACCACCAATGTTTACCCCAGTGAGACCAGGCCAGTGAGATCCTTTCCATGTTCAAGCTTCATTCTGAAATACTGAACTTGGATGTTCTGTGATCAATCATTGGTCTCTTCTAATTATGGTCTCTCCCCAAAATGCCTTCTACCTATATCAATACATTTGGCATGAGGCTCACTACCAAAATATTGCCAAAATTCCCTTAGGACTCTGATGGGACTCTTAAAAATCTCCCTCCAGGTAGCAACATGCCTTCATTGCTTAAGTGTCAATTGTTAGGCCTTTCCTTATGAGAGTGAAAGCAAATTAAAAAAAAAAAAAATTTTCTGTTTCTCAGGTCTGTCTGGAATTAGGAGTGGAAAACATGAAGTTTAGGAATTTTTGTAAAAGAGGATTCAAGAATGTGTACAATAAATAGCCCTGAAGACTTACACCTTTCTGACATGCTTTTGAAGCAATTTCTGTTTGAGTCTCATTCCAAGTCTTTATTGTGAAAAAAAATTATAAAGAATGCTCTTTCAGTCAATGGTAAGAAAAGTGACCTGGCTGTTGCAGATTGGAAAATATTGCAGTTTGAAAATGGTATAGTGACTTATGGGACACCCTGTATTATACAGGGTGGGCCACAAAAAAAGGAACACATTTTAAAAATGCATAACTTTTTTATCACTACATATAGAAATAGAGTCAACTTCACATTGTTCAGACATTCATCAAGTTTTTGCTGACTACATGAAATGTTCAAAATGTCCACTACTTTCTGCTGTACATTTGCGAACACGCATGATAAAGTTTTGCATTACCTTCTAAGGTGTTTCTTTTTCAATGGTGGCAACAGTTTGGATGATAAAATCTTTTAGTTCAGCAACTGAGTTTGGTTTTCTCTTTTGACCTTTTTTGTGGCCCACCCTGTACAACTCATGCACCCTGTCATTCTTGCCTCATCTGCTGTTAGGCAATGTTGGAGTCATGCATTTTTTCTGTTTATTTGTTGCTTGCGTCAGGAATTATTTCACTTGATTCTTGATGCATGCAATGGAACACTTCCATGAATGGGTGTACGAGGGGAGGTCGGAAAGTCTAATTTTAATCAAGGAAGACACATAATTTTTTTTCTTCATTTTCTCTCAGAAGCTTGTTAACAAGGTCAGTCCTGCACAGGTGACATCATCCATGTGCCCACACCTTCATTGAATCACTGTGATCCTGTAGCTTTCCACCTGATGCAGGCAAATATTAATGGAAGGTGTTCTGCATGTGGAACACAAACACTATCTTACAAGCCATACTCTTTTGGCATTAAGATCATGAGGATTTCTTCTGTAATATGGATGTGGCCTGGCAGTCCTTGAGTAATATGTGTAATAACTGCATAATATGTAGATGTTCTACTCACTATTCTTGGTCAGTATTCTTGAACATACTGGTCTTAAGTAATGCATCAATCGAATGAGTAATAAAAAGAGTTCATCTTATTTTAAATTAATAGTCTTCCTTGCAAGTAAAGATGAAACTTCATTCATTCTCTGAAACTTTGTGCTGGCCGACATGGAATGATTCCATTCCAATCCTTGTTTAAATGTAGCATTTTAAAATTATATTGTGGACACACATGTAAGCTTCACCTCGTGCCATCAGCTTTAATTCTTATTTCATTATTATTATTATTTATTATTATTATTTATTAATATTATTTATTTATTATTATTATTTATTTATTATTATTTATTTATTATTATTATTTATTTATTATTATTTATTTATTATTTATTTATTATTATTTATTTATTATTATTTATTATTATTTATTTATTATTTATTTATTATTTATTATTACTTATCTATTACTTATTTATTNTATTTATTATTATTATTATTTATTATTATTATTATTTATTATTATTATTATTTATTATTATTATTATTTATTATTATTATTATTTATTATTATTATTATTATTATTATTTATTATTATTTATTATTATTATTTATTATTATTATTTATTATTATTATTGTTCCAGCAAAACCTTTTTTTTTAGAATTGATGCATCTATCATATATACCTTCCTTGAAATGTTTGGAGGAGCATAAATGGGCTTTATGTATGTAGTCCTTTCTTGGTTGGCAACTATTGCGAAAAAAAATTGCATTATTGCATTATGCTCTATAATGTGTATATCTTGGCTAGATCCTTCAAGCAAAACACATGAAACTTTCATAGACCAGCTTACTGTATGGTCTCCCCTATACGTCTGTGCATATGCCTGTGTGAATTGCATTCAGTTATATATTGTGTGTGTCATTCAGCACTACCTGAAAATGGATTTTCATGGATTTTTATCAGGAAAGTGGGAGAGCTGGAAGAGATGAAGAGCGTGCACGATGTATAGTTTTGTTCCGCTTTGCTGACATTTTCCGGATCAGCACCATGGTCTTCACTGAGAGGACAGGGCTCACTAACCTCTATTCCATGGTCTCTTACTGCTTGGACTCCTACAGGTAGTGTACTTTTTACCATCATCATAATCAGAGGTTCTTCGTGTTGGTTAGGAATATAGGGCATAATGTTGGCACATTTCTAGCACTTCATGGTGGTAAGGCAAAGAAAAGGAGAGGACCAAGAAAATAAGACCAAGTTTATGTACTCTGAATTTAAATTTGTGTTTGAAGTAACATTGGACAAAGTCAACTTAGCATAGCAGATGATAGAGCCAAATAATGTGAGACTGAAAAACCAGTAGGCAGAAATTCATACAGAATAATCATATATAATTTTAGGAGTAGCAGGCATATGTGGTCCATCATAAAAACGAGAAAAAAAAATAAATGAAATTCACATCTTCCAAAAACGAGATTCAGTGTTCTCCACAACCCCGGGGAAATGGAGCTTCAAATTCGCTGGAGATATTCTGTTTTGAGAGAGTAAGAAGTATGGCAAATTTCGTTGCTGTTGATGCTCTCAGAGAGGAATACAAGAAAGTTGAATTTCGCTGCGGGAAGGGGTTGAAGAAAGGTAATAGTCGCTACCGTGCCCATTAATATGGACATAAATGGGAGAAAATTAATCATATCTTCATATTGAAACCATGATAATGTATGGCAGGACCTTGGATGAACCTACGAAAGACATATAAGTCAAAGATATGGTGGAGCACATGTCTTGCTTGATTGGAAACATGACCAGTTTGGGTATGAAACATATGATATCATGTCTTCCTCACAAGTCTTGTTCACATGTCAAGAATGACTTGAGGAACGATGCTGAGAATTGGCACTTCTTCTGTCACTTCAATGATATTGAAAATGCAAAATATTGAAACTGCAAAAATTCCCTCCCAATTGTGCTTTCTTCTTCCATGCAGGAAGAAGAAAGCAGAAATTTTCGTCCATTTTATTTCTAAATTGCATAAAAATTGTACTGTTATGTAGAAGTCTGGATTTGTCAGTTGTGAAACTTGTAATATTAATAAGGGATGAATAAGAGAAATTGGAGTAATCACTACAGATTCTTCATGCAGGTGCCACTTAGTTAATTTAGAAATTACCAGCTTTTTCATGCTGTTGCTGCCATAGAATATTGTCTTCATAGTTGACGAGAAAAGCCTCAATTAGTCAAAAATGCATGCAACTTTTAGGTAATGCTAGATTAGGTAGATCATATTCTGATAAAAATCATGTGATTCAATAAGTTACATAATCATATACAGGGTGTTCGTATTTAAACGCAACATAGGGAAATTTTTGCGCCTGTTTGTGGAGTTCAGTGGGTGCCTTAGGGCTAACAGGGTTGCATATCTGGAAGGTTGAAACCTATAGCTGGTGTATTTCCTTGCAGATAGACAACCCGGTGGGCCTTATGGCGTTCGCTGACCTTCACGTACAGGCGGCATAAAGGGTACACAGGGTACACGTACAGTACATCCCCTATGTTTCGCTTAACACGTTGATCGCCACGGCAATGCTGGCCTATTGATTTTCCCATTCAGTGAGGCGCACCGGTGCGCCTCGTGGCGGTCAACCTGTTAAATATGAACACCCTGTACATAGAAACCTATCCCCCAAACCAGATGATTCTAGTATATTATAGAAACTACATGTTGCGTAGATATGTTTAACGCATGAATAAGCCTCACATGGATCATACACCTGAAACATATTTGCCCGCATATATGTAGTCTTATACATTATTACATGAGAAAAATATAAATATACCGTACTAGCCGACCCAGGGAAGACTTCCACGAACTTCGGGTCGGCCTAGGCCAGGAGTGTCAAACTGCCATTCAATTTTATCGGGCCAGCTAAGTCCTCTTCAACAGTTGGTTAAGCAAAAGCGTAGACTTTTCCAACCTGTTTGCAATTGGAACTTTGGTATAAAATTTACTAATGTGGACCCAACCACTCCTGAAGGGATCCATCCGGCCCCCAGCTTAATCAAGATTGACATCTCTGGCCTAGGCTAAGCGTGTAACATTGTCGGGAATCAAAGAGTTCAGTCAGCGGCCCTTTGAACACTACGCGGCAGCTGCTCTTTCCCGTTCTCGAGGACGGATCCGATAGTCGGGAAGGCTCGAAACTCCGAGCTTAAGGTACTATGGGAAGATGAAAATCGACCCCCCTGGATCGAAATTCCGCTTTATAATTGTTGTAAGGGACCTCAAGAAAGGGCCTTCGAGCCGATTGCTGACTCTCTGCGGTCACGCCCAGGGCCATGATTTGAGGTCAAAGGTCACAATTAACATGCATCTCTTTGA